GCAGCTGGTCCCTCAGCCCATCCCCAAGCCGCAGTCTGACTCGGAGCCGCAGCCCCAGCCCCAGCCAGAGCCAGAGCCGCAGCCGCAGCCGCAGTTGTAGTCGAAGCCGTAGCCAGAGTCACTCGTCATCACCCCCAAGGGAGAAGCTGAGCAGGCCGGCGTCGTCCCCTGCCGTGGGCGAGAAGCTGAAAAAGTGAGCAGGTGCCGGGCTGGGAGAGGAGGGTTGTCAGCCTGAGATGGGATGAACTTGACCGTTGTCGTTTTGAACTTGCCTGTGTCCTGGGAGGTGTGAGGGAACATGGCCCTGACCTGGAGAGTGGGTCTGAGGAGGCAGGGCCTTGCCTTGGATGATGGATCAGAGGGGTCAGATCCGAGAGGGACTGGGGCGCCTGAGACCCAGGGCCTGGACTCTGGTCAGGGCTGTGTGAGGCTGTGTGGGGTCAGAGGTGGCAGGTGTTCTTTCCTCCTCCCAGGACCGAACCTGCCGCTGGTAAAGAGACAGGAGCTGCCAAAGTCAGTAAGAATTTGGAACTCGCCCGTCTAACTCCCGCAGCAGCAGTGCCCGAGTGCTGGGCCCGGTGGGCCTGCAGGGGGGCCGGGTGGGCCGGGAGACCCAGCCCCGGGGGTTAAGGGGACCGGAAGGGTTTTGTCCCCATGAAGTCCATGTCCCCTTCTCCTCACTGCTCCCCGGGGCTCCGTCTGTCCTGGACCTCCAGACCTTCATGGCAGGTGTCCACAGCTTGCCCCTCCCCACATGCCCCCCAAAGTCCCAGGCTCTTGAATGAGGTGGGTTGTGGGAACTCCGGGACACCCACCCCCCTCTCCCACCTCTTTTCCCCCTTCCCCAGCCCAAGCTGACGCCACAGGAGAAGCTGAAGCTGAGGATGCAGAAGGCACTGAACAGACAGTGTATGTACCCCTTCGGTCCCCCAAGTCTTCTTGCTCCCCCTCCTTCCAGCCTGGCCTTGTGGGAGAGGCATTCTGGGGAGGAGTGGGTGTGCACGCGGCTTTGCTGCCATCATGCTAAGGGTGTTGGTAGGCTGGTTGGCTCTGAGCTTGGAGGCCTACCAAGCCACTGCGTCCCTTCCTCCCCACAGTCAAGGCGGATAAGAAGGCCGCCCAGGAGAAGATGATACAGCAGGAACATGAACGGCAGGTAAGGGTGGAGTGAGAAGCGGGGCTCGGGCGGGTGCCAGCTGGGCCAGCCCTCACTGCCATCTCTGCCTCAGGAGCGGGAAGATGAGCTTCGTGCGATGGCCCGCAAGATCCGTATGAAGTAAGACCCTTCTGCTCCCTGTATCAGCCGCAGCCATCCACTCTGAGCTATAGCCCTGCCAGAGCCCTCCCTTGGCCCTGTTTCCTCCCTGCATCCCCAGCTTATTCCAGCCACAAGGACCCTGCTCCATCAGCTCCCAGCTCCCATTTCCTTCGCTGTTTCCCAGATCCTCACCTGGTTCCCTCCCTCAGTCCCCTGGGCAATCTCCTCCCTGACCGTCCTGTCCAGAGTAGCACCCCAAAACGCTCCCAGCTCTAACCCTGCTCTGTGTGCTTCGTAACACTAACCCTCACCTGGCGTGCAGTCTGTTTGGTGTGCCTGCTTATTAGCGGTGTCTGCATTGAGAGGCCAGGTCTGGTTGCTGTGTGTTCAGCCCCCAGAACACTGAGGCGGTGCTGTTTGTGGGAGGGCTGAACTTCAGCCAGCCCCATGGCTGGTCTGGCCCAGTGCTGGGAGACAGCTTCTCTCCTGTCCCCTCTGCTTCTCTTCTCGTTTTGTGTCTTCCACTGCAGAGTTGAGGGCCAGCTCTGCCTCTCTGTGTGGCCCTCACAGGCTAACTCCCTAAGGGTTAGTGCCCGTCGGCCTCAGGCCCT